TTTTAAGTAACAATGCGCTAAAGAACTAGGGAACTCTCTATTGTTCTGCGGCATAGCAAGTTCCCCATGTACGAATGTCTTGGTTTTCACACTGATTATGTATCCATCTGTGGGTAACACATTTTTGAAATAAAATGTGGATAAACTCTATTTTGAAACAAAGTTTCTTTTGTATTAAAAGCTCTTATCCAATCATAAGCACTCAAAACAATAGCCAAAAGATGCTTCTAATTTGCAAAGTTCCCCACATAGAATTGCCTTAATATTGAAGCTAAAGAAAGCTTTCATGAAAGCGAAAACAGACATTAAATAAAATATTAGAAAATTCGCTAACTTGTGAAATTATAGCAGATTTTCATGTTTTAACCAATGGGATGGATGGATTATACAATGCGCAATTAGCACCTTCTTGCATTCCTGTGCCGTTTGCTTCCCTAGTTCTTACTCGGGGCATTACTTAAAGAGTGCTCAATACACATAAAGTGTAGAGGCCTCTTTGATATCATATATATGCGTTATATCTTTAATAGTTTAAAGATGATTATAATATAGCTATCATAGTACGCGCTCTCTGATTGGTCAAATGCTATTGTTTATTTCAGCGGCAAAAGCACAGATGCGAAAATGTTAGAATATAAAAGCAATAAACAAAACATCATGCCTTCCTGGTGAAATAAACCACTTTGGATATTGGGAAAACATTCAAAAGGCTGAAAATCACTAGCCTCCGCCTCTCGAGATTTTTTACGCCCGTGCTCTCTCAACATCCCGCGTGGTTAATTTCACCAGGAACGCACTAAAATGTGTTATTCATTGCTTAATTACCAAATATTTTAGCTATGCACTGGGAAATGACCATGTTTGCATCAGGGCATACAGACATGGTACGACGGTTTTCTATTCACGAAAAGCCGCAATCTGTTTAGACTGGAAAGCGCGGGAGCATTAGCTCTGTGTTCTTTTATAAAATACAGCTATTTCAAAAAACTTTGTCGGGGAGAACGGCGACCGGCGAATTGCCGAAGGGAGATTGCACGACCGAAAGGAACTATGGTTACACTGTTTTGATAAACAAAGTATCACCCATTGGATTCACATTACATTGAAATGGAGACTAAATAGAGCCAATGTTTACCACAGACAATCTTACAGTACAAATCAGTTGTTATTGCCTTTCAACTAGCAAACCCAAGACTACTTTCGGTCGTGCAATCGCCGTTCGACCATAGACATTCGCCATTTTATACGACAACCTTTTTTGAAATAGCTATATACATGGTGGCAGATAGAGATTATCCACGAGGGAAAACACTCGCTACGCTCTCAGCTTGCTTCATTCGGACTCTGGATGTCTTCCACTATACTACACTAAGACTTGGAGCTTAAACAACCGAATGAGCAACACAGTTCAAATTATGCTACTTTCACAAGGAATTGAGGGTTTTAAAGCCGTGAAATATATTTTTAGACCTCTATATCCATGAAATATTTAAGGTGGTATACGTAGTAGTCGCTCTTTTCACTTTTCGAATTCTTTGTGTCACTCGGATTATTCCAGGAATGCAATTATAATCTTTTAATACCGCATAATTCAAATGAAAAACAATTGATCGAGTTGTTATCGAGTTGTGTAAAAGAAACAGGTCTAAAATACGGACGCTAATCGACCAAATCAGAGTCTTTGGTATTAAGGAGCATGCAAAAAAAAAGTATTGACCGTTTTTAATAAAGTAAAATGAGATCCAATCGAGTAATTACCAGCGGCGCCATGTGCTCATACAAGATCTCATTGGGCGTAGCCGCGAAAAGCAGGTGCCTTGGGTTTTTCACACTAATGTAACTAATTATTTATTCATGAACGCGATCAATCATTCTTTTTTCAAATCTTTGATCGAGAGTTCCTATCAACTAAATTAGAATATTTCCACGGAAGTCACCAATATAATGTCAGCTATTACCCATATGATTGAAGGCTTTTTTCGAATTTCCGATCGAGTGTTCCAATCAACTTTAATTAAAACAATGAGATAAATATTGTACTAGTWGCTACGAACCGACCTGTTAATTATATAAAACATTTCAAAAAAAACCTGCATTAAACATGTTTCTTTATTGTGATGGATGTTTGGGGAATTGCTATAATTGTGCAGATATTAAAGATTTAACATAGGTCGTGGTAGTTAAATGACGATCATTCTTGGGGGACCTGATAATTAGCCAAAGGAAATCCCTTTCAAGGACAACAATGTGTCACAAATTATGCATATTCTTTGCCAGTTTAACACTGGGAATTTCTCAAGGAAAACGTACAATAATGACCTTATTGTTTAGATCAAGAAAATTGAAGCCGTCGAGCAAAAAACTGCAGGTTTTTTAATCATTTCTATCTTCAATTATTACGAAGCTCAATCGAAATTGTCATAAGTTTATGTTCCTTTGTTTCGTATCACCAAATCTGGTTTGAAATCTCATTTAGCACATGTGAGATGACAACTARAAAGAATGTTTAATTAGACGGTAATACAAGACCAGTTAAAACTTCACAGATTTCGGAAGAAGAAAAAGCACCAACATTTGTAAACACAAGTATTTTCGTAGCCTTTGTTTTCGTCGAGAGAGGCGAATTTGAATTTAAAATCACTCCACGGGAAATGCCAATTGTTCTCGACACGTGTTTGGAGCGGTCATTTGAGAACATATTGGCCGCGTCCTAGTGACGATTTGTCACTCTATATGCAAAGCCTTTCAAGCATTTGAAAGGTATTCCGCCAAGGGAAGATAACGTGCTAGGGCCAAAACATTCCTCGCTTAAGTGCCACCATCAAGATGATCCAAATGAATCGAATTTCATAGAAATCTTTCACCACATACCCCGATATTAACCCCAAAAATACATAGAGTAAAGAGTAAACTTCTGTCTAATTTAACCAAGTTATGAGCAGAAACGTGTTTACAAATGATTTAGCCTTACATTTCTCTATAAAGAGAAGCTTTAGAAGTCTAAATGTGTCGAATTTGGTGCTTTCCCTAATGGCATTGATAAAACCGGTGTACTTCTTCAATTTGAATAATATTATAACCTACCTTTACTGATAAATCTCTCATAAACCTTCTAGATATTCAATAAACTCGTTCTTCCCGAGATTATAAATTCGTGTTTCGGAAAGTGCGAGCGAATATCTTCAACTCTCGGCTCTATAGATATTTACAAAGCGCCGAGATTAACAACGGAACTTACGTTGCTTCCACTAACACTTACATTCAAAGTCTCAGTAAATGTGATGCTCTCAATCAATAGAAATATCTTGAACAATTGTACCAGTAATTTGGCTTCTGGTATCCAACGCGCTACGCCAGTCAGCCTGTGTTCTGTGTGATCTGAATGTCGGCAAGGGCCATGGATTAATGCACGCCGATGTCACAGAATATTATAAAGTGGCATTAGTTATCRCCGAAGTAAAGCCATCAGATCAAATAACAATGGCAGTTTTGAATTACAAAAGACTAGTAAATAGCAGGGTGTCAGCGTTGCGGGTCTACATATGCAATTTCCATTGTTTAACTCATTAACATAATAGTTTCCTCTGACGTCATAAAATCACTGTAGCGTGTCTAATAGGAGCTTGGAATGTTCGTTAATGAAAATTTATTTTCTTTTTATAGATTCGTTTTTTATGGAGTATTGATCGGGTTATTAATTCGACTAAAGAATTCCAATTTGAGCTATACGACTTTTAATACCTGGAAATCGAATACCAAAGCTGGTAGTGAGAAACTCGAGAACTCGWAACTCGCAAGATCACCACATTTTTAGAATTCCAAAATGACACATTTTGAAATCTCTTATAGCGCAACATGATGATA